GGAGAAACAGGTTCTCAAATCTGGATTGCTATTTCTGTAAATTCTGTTGGGTTTGTTGTTGTTGTTGTTTTGTACTAGAGACTGGATCCAAGGGTGCTTTACCACTGAGCTTTTAATTTTTATCTTGAGACAGGGCCTCCCTAAGCTGCTTAGGGCCTTGCTGAATTGCTGAGGCTAATCTCAAACTTGCAATCCTCCTGCCTCAGCCTCCCAAGTCACTAGAATTAGAGGCGTCTACCTTATAGCATGCCTGGCTATAAATACCAAATATAGATTACCAAATTACTGTTTGGTAATCTGCTTTTTGCATGTGAGGGTTATATTACACAGTTGGAAGTACTTGAGAATCTTAAAAAAAATGCAGTTCCACCTAAAAGATATGCATCATGAATATTTTCCCATGCCACTAGATATTCTTTAAAAACATAGTTTTTAATAGGTGTACAGAATTCTCATTTTTTAACTTGATGACTTTAATCCAGAAAAACCACATACGATCATAATCCTTTTTGAACACAATATTCAAAAAGTTGTATGCAAGCACCAACCACTGACATCTTAGTCACACCTTTTTCAGAAATTATGCCAAAGGATTCTTCATGGGAGGTAGGGAGGTAATGGAAAGAGTAGAAACAATAAGGTGATCCTCTGAGACATATATTTGTAAAATTCTACCATACCACTGAAGGCTTTCTTACATAAATATCTTGAAGGGACAAGGATACAACATACCCTAAATCAAAGCATGAAAAGCAAGGTCTGTCATAACTTAATTAAAGTAAGACTGAAAATTAAAAATAAACACACTATAGGTCTAGTACAGTGGTGCATACCTGTAATCCCAGCAACTCGGGAGGCTGAGGCAGGAGGAACTCGAGTTCAAAGCCAGCCTCAGCAACAGCAAAGAGCTAAGCAACTCAGTGAGATCCTATCTCTAAATAATATACAAAATAGGGCTGGGGACATGGCTCATTGGATGAGTGTCCCTGAGTTCAATCCTTGGTATCAAAAAAATAAAATAAATAATGATAATAACAAGGGAAGCAGGCGGAGTGGGAGGACAGCCAGAGTGAAACCTAGAAAAATTAAAACCTAAGAGTTAGACTTTGTCTCCCTGTGTCTTATACAAAAAGCAAGGGCTGTGCCAATCTCCCTGATCTACTACCATTAGTCACTTAGAACGCTCAACTGATTTTCCTTGCTAATGTCATTTTTACCAATCCATCTCTTAATTATACTTCGGTCTTTTACAGGCAAGGGAACATACTGACAGTCACTGCACAGCAGCATGTCTGAGAAGCTGAGGCCCAGTGAACGGACCTTGTTCTTCCTGCCAAGGTGACGCAGCTTATCATGGCCTACAATTGTCAACCAATCTCCTTTTCTGACATCTCTTCCATTTTCTTTTTAAGAAAGTATTTCCAGCAGAATACACACCACCTGGTCAAATGAGAAGGCTAAGACAAAAGGACACTAGGAGTGAAAAGATAATCACTAAGGAATGAGGAATTACTAAGCAACAGGAAGTTATTAAGGCAAGTGTATCCAGTTAAGTGTCAAGACCTTCACAGCCCCAAGTTTCAGTAGCTCAGAACAAGATTTACAAGACAGTAAGAGAACATACAGGAAGGGAAGTAGAGTAACTTCCAACAATCCGGCAATTAAAGGGAATCAGAATGGAGTCAACATAAAGTTTCTGCCCCCACTGGAGTCCTCTGTTACTGCTGCCTGGTGACTCCTTCTCTGTCAAAAGCCACCCCACCAAGGGCACCTACTGTTACACTGGTCTAGAGGCCCATCCAACACCAACCCTCCGTGGACAGCTTCTCTGATGGTAAGCAACATCCAGTGTCAAGACTGAAACAAGCAGGCTCAAAGTAAGCATTCAAGTTAGAGAGATCAATTTGCTTAGAGTGTTGATATTCAAGTACTCTTTTAGTAGTGAAACCCATTTTTTCAAATGAACTCACAAGAACCCATTATATAAAATAATTGATTAATAAAAGTTCACTGACATATAAGGTAAGTAAGAACAATGAAGCCATATTTAACATAAATATTTTAAATGAAATGTTAGACAGGAGCTTTACATCAGACTTAATATTCAATTTGTTGTGTTTTCTTCAAGTGCACAAATCCAAGAAATCACAAAGATAAATTGTTGCAAATGATTTCTAATTGCTCTCCTAGTCATTTCAGGATCCTCACAGAACTGACCCAGAAGCTTGAAAAAGAAATTATAAGGAATGTTGACTTCAAAGCTTAATCACTAATAACAACAGCTGTCCTTATTAGAAGTTCTTTACCAAAAATAAGGACAAGAAATATCCACGACAGACAATAAGCTTCATGTTGTAATCAGCTTTTTTGCTGCTGTGACTAAAAGGACGGGACCAGAACGACTATAGAGGAGGAAAGATTTATTTAGGGGCTCACGGTTCAGAGGTCTTAGTCCACAGAAGGCCAGCTCCATTTCTCAGGGCTCGAGGTGAGGCTGAACACGGCAGAAGAGTGTGGTGGAGGAAAGCAGAAAGAGAGACTCCACTCCCCAGATACAAATATATGCCCTAAAGCCATGCCCCCAATGCCCGCTCCTCCAGTTACCACTCAGTTAATCCATCAGGGGATTAATTCACTGATTGGGTTTAAGGCTCTCACAACTCAATCATTTCTTCTCCAAACTTTCTTACATTGTCTCACACAAAAGCTTTTGGGGGACACCTCACAGCCAAACCATAACACAGTAAAACTACAATAGAGTACTATCACTTCTCAACTTGTTGTGTTCTTCATTAAGTCACTGCGTAACTCTTGTCAGAAGGAACGCACACACCAGGCAGATGTGATGGGCTAGATGGCATCTGCAGTGGTATCTGCCACAAAACCTGGGAGGCCAACACGTACAGGCCTGACTTCTACAAAAGACCTGTTAATACAACCTTCCTAATCAATGACAGACATAAAGTAGATGAACAAGGATAGCTTTATCCTAGCCTATCACAAACCAGGTAACCTGGTAGCACAAATAACCACATTATTGGTCTCCACTGTGCCAAAAAAAGTGGCATTTAGCACATTCTCAATATGCACATTGAGCTTCTTCAAAATAGTTAAAAATATAAAATAAATTCAAATAAACAACTGGGGAACTCATGCCACATCTCTTTATCAAAGATTGACAAGAAGTCTGTCAGAGGTCAGCTCTGGCGTTGTGAAGAGAAGGTGGTAACAATGAGGGCATAATAAAGGCAAAACAACAGCTTTATCAAGTAATCTGCTTCACAGATTTGCTTTTGTAAAATTAAATGCAATGTTGCTAAGAAAAATATTTCTAAGATCTTTTTGTTCCGTACACTGCTGTTCACTTAAAGTTGGATAAAGCCCATTATCCTGACCTATTTTTATTATAACAAAGAGAGAAATAACCAAGGTTTCTCTTCATCACGGAAAAGCAGCCATTTTTTCAGCACATTTTTGTTTCTTTGCCCTTTTCACTTTTACCTCTGAATGTTCAGGTCCACTTTCCCAGAATAGAGTTCAACAGCATGTTAACTTCTGGTGTGTGGATAAGGAAATCACACCTCTTCCTCACCCTGGGTCAGGCATGGCCTATACAGCCTGGCCTTTACTCATTACCAACTGTGAACTCTGGGCAGGATACTTAACCTTTGTGCCTCAGTTTCCTCCTATGTAAAAAAGAGACAATAACAGTTCTACCTCACAGGGGTGTTGTAAAGATTAAATGAGTAATTTAATAAGTGTTAAGAATTTTAAGCAAATAAGTGTTCACAATTATCATTTTTTAAAAAAGCTTAAAGGGATCAAAATTGCTCAGAAATTGAATTAACACATATAATAATGTAACAAAACTTCTAAAGAATGCTAGATAAACTCAAAAGTAATTCTCATTACACGCTATACTGTTCTTTATTAGAGAAGTCGTTCTTTATATTCTAATATAAAGAAGTCGTTCTTTATATTAGAGAAGTCTGTTCTTTATACAGAGGTATCTTAGAATTAAGAAAAGTAAAGTAACAACAGCTTTACTGAAAATCAAACTGGTTTGGGCCAATTCAGTGAGGACAACCAAGAATGTGTCTCCTGTGTTCAGTCCTAAATATGACTACATATTTGTTTAAAATTTCCTTAAGCAGGAAAAACAGAAAGAGCACACCTAACTGCCTTATTTCTAGAACTAAATACAGCAAGATAGTAAGATGGGAGGTGCTGTCAGTATTTTCTTTACAGGGGACAGGGGGCAGTAGTTTGCAAATTTACTCTGTGATGCAAAGGACAGTGAGTAAGAGGGCATTTGGACGCACAAACAGGCACATAAGAGGGAAAATCTTAGCTGTGGTGCATTTATTATCCCAATCAAAAAAATAATGACATAAACGTAATTAACAAAGTCTCTGTGGAACAATGCTCTGCATAGCAAAGTTCGCCTCAGAGCTTCCAGCGGTGGCAAAGTTTCTCACAAATCAATGCTTACTTTATTTGCACGTGCGAGCAACAATCTGCACAGCGCTTCCCCCACAGGACACTAAAGGGCCCTCCAAGAGGCCAGGCGACTGCTCAGTCCCAGCGCAGTTTCCCCGCAAAAGAAGCCGGCATCTTCCGGGGGCGCGGTGCAAACCGAGGGAAGGAGGGACGCGCGGGGCGCCAGCCGGGCGCACTGGCTTCCCGAGCGGCTCCCTCCCTCGGACGGGGGCGGAGTAAGGGGCCACTGCGGTTCGGCCAGCGGAGAGGAATTCGGCGCGGCCGCTGCAGCAGCTCGCGCCGGGGGGCGGCGCGGCCGGCATCCAGGGCAAGGCGGGGGCCGGCGGCTGCGCGCGGCCGGGCAGGGGTCGCTCGGCCGCGGCGCCCCGGCCCCAGGCTGCGCCGCGCCCTGCCGCTGCGGAGCCGGGGTGCTTCCCTCCCCACGCCCCCTCCGGCCCCGGCGAGCTCGGGCCAGGACCCGACCCGCTTCCTGCGAGCCGTCGGCAGCCGCCGCCACTCACCTCGCCGCCAGGCAGCGCTCGGGCTCGGGCTCGGGTTCCGGCGGCGGCGGCGGCTCCTCCATGGCGGCGGCAGGGGTGACGGCGAAGGCGGGAGGGGGCACCAGCTCGGCGGCGGCTTCTTTCATTCGTGCACGGAGCCCCGCATGGCCGCGGCGGGCAGTAAGCTGCAGCCTGGCGCGAGGGACCGGAGCCCCGAAGTGCGGGAGTGACTCGGCTCCGCCTCCGCCTCTAGCCCGCCGCAGGACCCGAGCGCGCCGCGGCCATCTTGGGAACGGCGGCCGGCCGAGCGCCGGGCTACGGCGGGCGGCGAGGGACAAGCCTCCGTGGGCGGCGGCGGCGGGCGCTGGAATCCGAATGGGCGGGGACGCGCAAACCGAGGGAGGGGCGCGGTTCCCCGCCACCGATCAGGTGTCGGCTGGGTTGGTGACAGCGGGCACTGTGGTGCAGAGCTGGACTGTGCGGCGTGCTGGGCGGCCCTCGGGGCGCGGGCGCGAGCTCCGAGGACACCCGGAGAGGCGGTGCTGGGCGTCTGGGGGGTAATCGAGGACTTGCAAAGTGCTTGGTCGTTTGAGCCAGTGGATGGCCGCCGCCGCCGAAGGTCGGGCCGTCCTGAATCCCATCTTTCGGAAATAGGGATGATGTCACCCGGGCGCGCGCAGCGCGGAGGGATGAAAGCGCGGGCCTTCGCCGCGCTGGTAAAACTCAGCTTCCTGAGACCGGGAATAAGTTTACGGAAGCTCAGGCCATGGAGGGGACCCTCACATCAGCGAGGCACCGAAGACCACTGGTCACCCCAGCGCGGGGTTCCACGTGGACCTTCCGGAGACGCGGACCGCAGCGTTCCTACACTGAAGGGGTGAAAGAAAAAAGAAGCTCTAAAGTTTACTTTAGGCATATTGAAAACTTTTGCAATTCCAATGCTTCGTTTATCCTTAGAGACCACGTGGGTCTTCACAGCTTTAAGTTGCAAACATTTGCAAAATTTCCTATGGAGTGAAATCCAAAGTCAATTTTAAAACACCATCCTTTAAACAAGTATGTTCGCCTCTAGTCCTTCAAATGCGCTGTTAAAAAAAAAAAAAAATCGGTTGAGCCAAAGCTCAAAATATGTAAAACATAGTTCTGAACAAATGTTGGTAAGAAAACTGGCCAAAACAAAACGTTTAAACGTGATGAGGTAGGACTTAAAGGTCAGCTGAGAAGATAACTAGGTTGCACTCAAAAGATTCCAAAATTTATTTGTAGCTAAGTTGCTTCCTTCAGTTTTATTACAAGAGTCTGTATTTTTTTATGACCAGATAGTGCTGAATTTCTGAATTGATGTTCATCTTATTTTTTCAACAACACGTATTCAACAAGTACTTGTTAAATGCATACATGAGGACTGCTGAAGATAGAGCATTGATCAAAACAGACCAAATTTTTCCCTAATAGAGCCAATAACCTTATGATAAAAGGAGAGAAAAAAACAAACGAGTGTTTAAGGAGAGTAAACTTTTTATCTTAATAAAAACCATATTATTTCTTAAATCACTAATTCCCTTTTGATGTGTGAAGAAAGTTCTGCAAATATTTCCCACTTTCTGTAATTCTAGTTCTCTAATTTTCTTTTAAAATTTGCTGAGCCTGAAACCCTTCTGAGAAGGCATATTAGAGATTTAAAAGCTTAAATAGTTAAAATAAACCCCTCTCCTCTAAGAAGCTCTGTACTGTGTACTCTTCAGGGCTTGCATTCCAGTTAACTGTGACTACCGACTGTAAGATAGCTAGAGTGCACACAAGTACATCCAGATCACAAGACACTGGCCAAATGTAAATCAGCTTGGAGAGACCTATGACCTTTTTTCACCTTCCACTTGAGGGTTCTATTTTAGCCAGATCCAAACAAATTTTACATTTAACTAATCAGATAATGCAGCACATGGAGAAACCTAAGTGGTACTAAACAGGCAATTTAAGTGCAGTGACTTTGACCTACCTCCACACTGGGTCCAGTCCCACTATTTCCCTAGCCTTCCCTCTTGAAGAATTGCTTCTCCCTGTATCCTCAAGACGGAATTCACAAGACTGTCTCCCCAGGCCTCCCCTCTCCCCAGGGCTCCAGACAGGCCTTCCCAGCATCCACCCCCAGTTACCCAGGGTTCCTTTCCTTCCTTTTCTGCCTTTTCCACTGAAGTGTATGTCCCTTCAGGACAGATGCCTTTCTTTGTTCTTCTGTGGTCTACCTAGCCACCAAGAATCACTAGTGCCCAGCTAGTGTCTGACATATAGTAGGAGCTCAGTTAATATTGTTATGACAGAGTTAAGGACATGCCATCTCAAAATATGCAACTGGTATATTGATTATTTCAGTCTTTTTGAAGTCACTTGACTTCAGAAAGGACTATTTGACCTAACATTTCCTACAGGCAGCAAAACATGAAAATTCTTTTTTTTTTTTAAAGAGAGAGAGAGAATTTTTTAATATTTATTTTTTAGTTCTCGGCGGACACAACATCTTTGTTTGTATGTGGTGCTGAGGATCGAACCCGTGCGCTACTGCTTGAGCCACATCCCCAGCCCAAAACATGAAAATTCTTTAGGGAAAGCGATCCTTCACATAGCAGTGCTGGAAAACAACCCTTGATCACCTGAGACTGGCAGTGGGGCTCAGTGCACCTAAATAAACACACTCTGAAGTGACTCTAGTTTTCCACCAACTTCTACAGACCCTCCCCCATTTTATTTCAGTTAAATCCCTAGAATTTGCTACTCTAGTCTATATGCCATCTGTCCTGTCTTTCCCTAAAATTTATTATTCTTTGTCTAAAAAGTATAAAAGCATCATACTTTGGTCATTCCTTTGAACTTTACTCTCTTGTCAAGATCCACATATACATGTACAATTTTTTTTTTTAATCTGTGCTTTTCTCTTGTTAATCAGCTCTTGTATTAATTGGGTTTCTTATCCAGCCAAGTAAGAACTAAGAGCCCACATAAGAACTAAGGAAGATACAGAGACCGTTGTCCTCCTTACAGTTACATTCATCAAGGAGGTGCTTCTTTTAACATTAATGAGCTACTCTCATAATTAGGTTTTCATCGCTAAACTTATGTCACTATTTAGCACATGGCTGGTCTCTGCCTTTAATTTTGTTCTTAAAAACAATGGCAACAAAATCTTCAAAGAATTGCTTCTCCCTGTATCCTCAAGACCGAATTCACATAGCCTTTATTGAATTTCTTTTAAAAAATGAATTAAAAGCTAAAATTCGGGCTGGAGATGTGGCTCAAGCGGTAGTGCGCTTGCCTGGCATGCGTGCGGCCCGGGTTCGATCCTCAGCACCACATACAGACAAAGATGTTGTGTCCGCCGAGAACTAAAAAATAAATATTTAAAAATTCTCTCTCTCTCTCTCTCTCTCTCTCTCTCTCTCTCTCTCTATCTTTAAAAAATAAATATAAAAAATAAAAGAGGTTTTATCCTTTAATAAAAGCTTTAAATAAATAAATAAATAAAAATAAAAGCTAAAATTCTCCTAAAGATCCAGTTTACGTGGAGGTACATAACATTCTTAACTTTGCTTATAATTAGTTGAAAGTCCAATTTTGACACATACTTGAATCCAGTTACATATTCATATGTATGTATTTTTCTGCTTTCCCTAAAAACTAACAAACCTTGAACACAGGCTACCATTATTTAAACTATTGGATGTACCTATCAGTGCAAAGAGCGTTGTTATAGCATTAAGGCTGGTGTATTAGCCGAAAGTTAATTTTATGAGTTTTGTCACAAAATGATTCAAAGCAAATTTTTGTGCCAAGCTATGCAATAAATAGGGTTATGTCTTTGCTGTTTGAAAACAAAAACTCCAAGATTATGGTTTTGAACATTATTATTAGTGTGGTGCTGCATTTTACTTAAAATAAGCTTTTCCCTTTTCCCAGTGATATTCATGAAGTCTTCCACCCAGATTCCTGTGTGAACATTCAAGACTTCACCAGCCCCTGGCCCTCTCTGTTCCCAGGGGCTCAGCTTAGCTCTGCAGTGGCAGAAAGAGTGCAGACATCCCAGTCTGTTGATGCTCACAGGGGGCCGATTCATTTTCACTCCAGCACAGCCAAAGAGAGAAGACTGTGAAAGAGCAATGAAATCTTCAACTCCTCATGGGGGACTTTGACACATGGATTTTTTTTTCCCCATAATGATACAAGGACATCTATTTCTACTTAGTAGTAAAACACAAAGAAATATTGGATATGAAAAAACATAATTAGTGCACTTTTTAAAAATAGTCCTTGTCATCCTTCTTGTCTGAATAGTGGGGACTTAGATAAGACCTCTACTGCTTTGTGTTGTTTTTCTGAGAGGTGATTTACTTGTTTTTGTTATTTCTCCACCAGGACACAAATCAGCACTTATTTCAGACATTCTCCTCTTACACAGTATACATTGAGCCGGTGAAGACTTCAAATCATTAACAAAGAATTAAAGGTTACGTGCTTAAAAAAAAAAAAGTTATTCTTATCCAAAGGAATAAACTAACAAAGGAAAAGTGGAGTCCAATGTGTGAATAGTGAGAGTTTAGCGGAGGGTCATGTGCAGCCTGCTCACAGCCTCTTCGTATCCTTCTAGAAATGCAGGCAGGAGAAGCGGAGTGGGGGACCCACATGGCTTCTTTCCTGCTCTGACTTCTCAGTTCACCTCTCAAGCTCCTGCCACAGCAAGGGCTGGCGAAGCCCCTGAGGGAGTCGGCTCTTGCCTGATTCTCTGTATTTCATTTCTCCTTCTGATAACCAGGTATGAAGTTGGGAGAACTGTGAAACTGCAAGTTGCAGTTCCTAAATTATCTTCAGATCCCTTCAAATCATATGTGCTTTGTGCAGGATGTGGAACCAGGCACAGAAGAGAACAGAGATGACTCGGTGCCCTGTGCCAGGGGCTTCTGACCCTCACTTCTGTCTGTCAAGGTCACTTGTTCTCCCAAACACTGTTGTGTCCTGTGGTTGGTTACATGTGTCTTTCTTTCTCAATAGCGGGCACCATTTCTGGCCTATTATTACTTCTTTAGCACATGCAATAACTCTCTGTACATAGTACCTGTTCAGCTAAATATCTGCTGAAGAAATGAACTGGATTATGTATGCATGCATGGATCTAATTGGGGAAATAAACCCAGGATGAAAATTTCTGTGGTACACGTAGACTAAGAGAAGTCTCCAGAGGCAGTTTTTGTTGTTGTTCTTAATGCAGCTGGTATTCTAAGAATCAGAGACTACTAAGGTAGACAGATATAAGAAAGAAAAACTACACTTAAAAGTAAACATTTCAGCA